CTTATTCTATCTCTTCCTTGAAACAAGGATTATGTCCTCATAATTTTTGAATATTTCAGTGCAAATGTTATGGTTAATGGGAGCATAATTATATGTAAGCATTACATATATGATAAAAATGTTGATCCTGATTGCTATGAAACCTTCATGGGAATTTCCATTTTACCAAATTCATACCAAAATATTATACTTTCTGCCACTAAAATTGTACTTTTATGAAGGACATAAACATCCATTTTTAAGTCTCACTTCTTAATCTTTTCATGTAAAATATGTGATATTTTACTTATTTATTTTAGTCTTATGAATTCAACATAGGAAGATTACAATAGACTGATAATTCTTCAGGTTCACATTTTCTAATTGAAGCCATGAAAGTTTTCGGGTTCACAATTAATGATTTCAAAAATTTTTGTTATAATATTTCATAATCTTATTATGAGTGGTGTTGTAAAAAGTAGTAAAGCAGGGACACTGATTACAAAATTCAGAATACAATATATATAAGGCAATTCACACTCAACCAATATCTCTTAATTGTAAAATTCATTTTCAACCATATCAGATAATCTTGTCTAATTATTAAAATTTCAAAACAATACAAATCATCATACATCATTCGCAACTAAATATAAAAATAGTAAATATAAAAATAAAAATAAAATGCAATATTTGACTAAAAGAAGGTAATCACATATATGAAAACTCACTTTTTTCTTAAATTCTTATAAGAAGAAAAGAATGTAACTTCAATGAATCTTGCAAAAAGCCTATTCAAGGATGAATCTTGCAAAAAAATCCCTAGAATTCTCAATGGAAGAGATTAACGTCTTCGTCACAAAATTTCTTCATCACGAAATTTGTCGCAGTGCATTCATCTATTGATCATAGAAAAAGTACAGAAAGCAAAAAAACAAAATTTAATATTTGTTTCTTGAATCAAAGTTAAGCATTAATGGAAAAAAAATATTCAATAAAGAGAAAAAAAAAGAAAAAAGAAAAAAAGAAACACCTAATAATAAAAACCTAGAATATGAGTCAATAATGTGAATGCTGAGCGGAGGTAGCTTGAGATACACTTTATGAACAACAATACAAATGTTGTGAATGATGGTGAAGGAAGACTTTACAATGAATAGAAAGGATGACTACGAGAGTGATAAGGAGAATGAACAATAGAATACTGAATGTTAACGGGTGTGAAGGAAAAAAAAAACCGTGGGTTATGAGAGGGACAGTGAATACAAATGCATGTGAAATGAACCGGCCCATTAAACAAAAGACCAATATAAAACGTTTTTTAATAAGCGCTTTGCAGTTATTTTTCTAAAAATTTTCTTTTTCAATGAGTGCCATAATAATTTATTTAAAAAAATAATCAATTTATAAAATTTTATAAATGACGCTTCTATTCACACGCGTTGTCTATTTATTTTCTTTAAAAAAATACTTTTTTATAAAAGCGCTATAACGTATTTTTTTTTATAAAAGACCAACAGAAAGCATTTTTTTTTAATAAGGGCTTTGCAAATATTTTTCTAAAAATTTTATTTTTCAATGAGCGCCATAATAATTTTTTTAAAAAAAATAATCAATTTATAAAATTTTATAAATAACGCTTCTATTCACACACGTTGTCTATTTATTTTCTTTAGAAAACAATTTTTTAGAAAAGTGTTATAACATATTTTTTTATAAATAAAATAATACAAAGATAGCATTTTTTTATTAAGCGCTCTCTGTATAAAACCTTATTATAGCGCTTATTTAATTAAGCGCTCTTTTAACGTTTCATGTTTTAAAACACAGCACTTATTAATTAAGTGCTATCTAAATAGTGCTATTTATTGCCACTTCTAGTGTAGTGTGATTCTAAGCATTTAAGCTCATAGAAACCTACGTGCTAAGCATTGCTCTTGATGCTAAGCATTTGGCTCATAGAGATTTTGATGTTGAGCATTACTCTTAATGTTGAGCATTAGGCTCACAAAGATTTAGGCGATGAGCATTGCTTTTGGTGTTGAGCAACAAAGTCTTTGTTGTATTTTTATGTGATTTTCAGTATAGTAGATGATGGAGTTAAAACTTGAAATATTCACAAGAGTTTTAGATAACCATTTTAGCTTTCATATGAGATAAAGATGAATTTGATTGGATTAGTAGAATTCTTATTGTGTTATGTGGAGGTTGTCATTGTACAATAGTTGATTTTGGAAACTCGTATGTTGATACATGTTATATGATGTATTATGAATTGAAAAACATTGATATGCTATTATGATTAAGTCGTCTAGCATTGATATGTTATGTATGATGAATGTGCCAAAGTTTGCATGGTTGGAGTGGTGTATAGGCATTGATATGCTATATTTGTGTAACTGAAATGGTGATAAGCATTGATATGCTATGTATGATTAATATGCTATTAATTGCATGGCTGGAGTGTTAAGAGTTTAGGGTTTAGCATTGATATGCTATTATTGAATGAATTGTTGAGCATTGATGTGTTATGATTGGATAAATTGTTAAGCATTGGTATGTTATACATGATTGGTGTGATTTGATCTCTATATGCATTGACCTAGGGTAATATATATAGAAGATGTATTTTGAGATGTTGATGTTAAGAATGTTGTGGGCATTAAAGCATGTTGATTGAATTAGGACTAGAGGAGATAATGTTTAGAAAGTGAAGATCCCATATAGAGAATCTTGTTTTGTCACTTTAGGAGGCCAATTGTTGAAAACTCGCCTTGAGTAGGTGTGACACTCTTGGAGTGAATTTTGTTAAGTATCCTCTAGGTCCTTAGTCAATTTGGAGTGAAGTATGAAATCAAGGACTACAACCCTTAACTGATTACTAGAAAGGTTGTGTGGTTCCTTGCGAATAATTAAAGAGCTAACTTCATATGTGACTTGGTAATGCATGCCAAGGTCGTGATGTGCCTATACCCAGCTATATTATTTCTAATGGTGGAATCGAACTTTCCTAGGATAAGTGGTGATACCCGAGAAATCAGAAGTTAGGAATTGGTATCCCATTTTCTTTGTGATCGAGCAAGTACATTTTGGCATGAAAACTATTGGGTTGATTTGGTAGGATCAAGTCACTTACACTACTCAAGTGTATTAGATCTCTGTAGGTGAATATGTGATGATACATTAGTACTAATGTGTGTATATGTGATGTGGGTTGAGTTGATCATTGTTCATATGTACTCAATGATTATCTTATCATATGGTATGATGGTGGTAAATGTTTGAATTGCTCTGTGTATTGCTTTCATATTTTTTGATTAGGTGATTATTGTATGCCATGAGGTGTTTATAAAAAAGATTTATGTGCAGGTGATAGTATAGATATTTTATTCCTATACTAGTATGTTTTTGAAATCTAGTTTATCCTTACATGATTTTTCATGTGATTTGAACTACGATGATCATGATTTTTATAGAAATAGGGCAAGGTTAGTCGAAATGGACTTCTAAGAGAGGTTGTAGGGCCATTAAGGCAGCGTAATCTTGTCTTGAACTGCTTTTGATGGTCTATATAGTACGTAGTGCTTGATCATCACTTAGAATTCTATACTATTTTTATATTGGATGATTGTACATATACGGTATATATTTATAGAGTTATTCTTAATTGCACTTATACTGATATAATTAATGTTATAATGTGTATATTCATGTAGAATGAGTATAAAATCTTAAGTATGTGAATAATTTCACTATTAATTGGTGATTCCATAAAGTATAGTGATCATATATAGTAGGTTATTACATTAAGTATCAAATATAGGATTGTTTATCGATCGATTTGAATAATCTAATAATATGAACGAAATCAATTCAAATAATTTAAAAAATTTCCTTGATCGAGTCAAATTCAATGAAAACTAAACATTTTTTTTTTCTTATGTTTATAATTGGTTCGTATAACAAATTTATATTTTGCAAATCCGTTAATCCGATAACCTAACTAAACATTTACAAATTATATTTTTATTATTTTATATATTAGTTATTTTATTACTAATTAGTAATTAGAAATCGTAAAAGTGTAAAAACAAAAGTAATTAGTTTATGTCAGTTATTTGCTTTATTTTAGACAATTTAATTTATTTTAACAATTTGGTTTAAATTGAATAATTTGGTTTATGTTGAAAAATATAATTTATAGCAGATAATTTAATTTTTGTTGGACACTTTTTGAACTAATATTTGTTGACGAATGTTGGTTTATGTTATTTAAAAATATTGTTTTATATTTCTACAGCATTCTTTTATTTATACTTTTATGTGATATTTATACTCTTTTTAATTAAAACTTTGAGTTTAAAGAATTTAAATTATATTTTGACTTAACAATCTTATGAGACAAATTTTAAATTTTGAATTAGTCAAATATAAATTAAAAAGAATTAAATTAACTTAAATTTTAAGATATATAAAATCAAAATAAAACATTTTAAAAGATAAATAATTAAAATAAAATTAAAATATAAGAGGAAGAACTAAAAATATAATTTAATCTAATTTTTTTAGTCATTGAAAAGTTAATTAGTTAAATCTATACTATTAATAAAGGAAATTATTTTATTTAATATATATATTTTTGAACAATTTTGTCTCTAACTATATATAATATATATAACTAGTCAAATTATTCTTTCTCTCTCCACAATTTTTTAGAAACTACACTTACAATTTATAATTATTCAGAAACTGCTGAAACATTGACTATTAACCGTTTACTTTTATTTTAAAAAAATTATTAAAAAAATTACGGAATGCTATTTTATACTAGTAATGATAACATGAATCGGATAAGTGGAAGGAAGTGGTAGTGAAGTTTCCTTTGGTTTGGGACCCATTCATCCTCAGCACTACTCAATTGACCAAGTCCACTCGTCATATGTTTTGAATGTAAACCACAGAATTGCATCCAAGTGTCAAACACGGCTTTACAAAGATACCACACAAGACAACATAACCTCGTTAGTTCTATAATAAATTAATCCTTCATCTCTCACTATGCTAAACAGGTAGACACGTTATTGGTTCGAAACAGAAATTAAGCACTTCACTCACCCGCGACAGACACTATGGACGACAAGCAAGCGCCGCCAGATCAACCCCGCCGCCGCGGCCGAAGGTGGTGCTACTGGTTCCTCCGAATCTTGTGGATCCTCTTCGTCTGCATCATCGTCTTCGTGGTCCTCGTGATCCTCGTGTTGTACAGCGTAATCCAACCCCGCCCCTTCAAGTTCCAAGTCAGCGAAGCCAGACTCACCGAGTTCAACTACAGCGACGACGGCAGCAACACCCTCCGTTACAACCTCGTCCTCAACTTCACCGCCATAAACCCCAACAAGATGCTCAGCATCTACTACGACAAAGTGGAGGGTCACGTGCTCTACGGCGGCGTCTGGGTCGATTCAACGCACGTGGTCACGTGGAACACCTCGTTCCGCCAGTACACGAAGAGCACGGACCCCATGAACGGGCGTTTCTGGGGGCGACACGTGGTGGTGCTTGACGCCTCTGATTTCGAGCGAGATAAGAGAAACGGGGTTTTTAACATCGATTTGAGGCTCAACTTTGGGATTAGGTTGAGGCTCGGGGACTTCATAGCCGGGGACATGAAGCCCAGGGCCCAATGCGGGCTTAAGGTTCCTTTCGTTTCTAATGAGACTGCGGTTACTGGGTTTCGCCTCACTCAGTGCGATATTGATTTCTGAGGGTTCCCGGTCCCACGCGCCTCCAATTTATTAATTGAATTTTCTCTCTCATATTTATTGGAGTGAACACTTACTACCAAATTGACACTATGCAGTCAAGTATGAAACGAAACGATGTTTTCTCTTGAAGTCATTGACGATGTACCCTAACAATAACAACCTATTCTTGAAGAGGTACCACCTGAATTTTTGTGGTTTAGGGTTTCCTTTAGCATTACCTAGATGATTTCCTTTCTCAGTAATTTCTTTGAATTTTTTTTAGTATATGTTATGTTCTGAGTTTCTGAACCATGTTTCTGTCTTTGAATTTATGATATGTTATGAATTTTTATTTTCAACTTTTGAATCATAGTGTGACATTTTGGTCAACGCATGCATGAAGTTGGCGTTCTGGAACGGGCCGTTCTGAATCTAGAATGGGCCGTTTTAACACCAGAACGGCCCGTTCTGGTTTCAGAACGTCCCGTTCTGATGCACTCATGGTTTGTTAAATTTGCATTTGGAGCAGCCCGTTCCAGTTGCAAAATTAACACATAACATGTGCATGCAGAACGGCCCGTTCTGGTTCTAGGTGTATTCATGAAATTTGGCGTCCACCTATGCATCTACGTGGCATCTACCTAGCCAACAGTCAACTCCGTTTAAATCATTTGGATAGAAGTCCCAAATTGTAATAATTTAAATTATTGGAGATCAAATTGAAATCAAAAATTAAAGTGAGACTAAATTGAAACAAAAAAATATTATAAGAGACCAAATAAGGGTTTTAACCATAAAAATATATATCAAAAGAAATATACATGTAAATTTGTATATATTATTTATTATTTATATCTATTCTTACTTTATAGGAACTAAATTTGCTATGTTACATATACATATATATATATATATATATATATATATATATATATATATATATATATATATTTTGCATTACGTTGAACATGCCAGGTGTAAACCGAGTTGGACCGGTCCAATTCAACTGCTATCATGAACCAAAAAAACAAAAAATCCATTAGTTAACTACTAGGAACCACAAAAATGTATCCATTAGTCAATCTGAAACTCAAACAAAAATACAGGATATGTTTGTTTTAAGTTTCATTCTAATTTTTTTAATAAAATAAATATATTTCTTTTTTATGTATTTGTCTAAAACATTTTTTTAATTGAATCTTATTTATCATTAATTAATGAGGTTGAGGTACTTTAGATTTCTATTAAAACAACATAAAAATTAAGATTAAATAATAAAAATACGTAGTTCCAACTAGTACTGCAGTTGGTTCTCAAATCTTGAGTTTGATAAAAAATATTAATTTTTTTAATAATCAAATAATATAATAATTTACTAAATATGGAGAATAAAATAATTATTAAAAAAAGTATCACCTTTATATATATATAGAGAGAGAGAGAAAGGAGAGATCCGTTTAATCTAGGAGTAAATTTATTTAGAATTATTCTGTTTAATAACTCATGTTTTACATTAAATTTTAACAATTCAACCATTGAAATTAAAGTTTTTAATACATAGATCAAATCTGAAAATTTTTAAAAAATTTGAAAATCATTTGATACTTCATTTCATTAATTTAAATTGACGAATAATCATAAAATCATTTTATACATTAATTTGAATTAATGAAACGAAGTATCAGATAATTTTTAAATTTTTTAAAAATTTGCACATTTAATCTATGTATTAAGAACTTTAAATTTAATCTATATATATATTTCACTTTATTTCCTTCATTAACCTATTATTTGACTTGTAATTCAAAACCTAATTGGGTCAATAATTGGTCTAAGATCTTGTTTGGAAAATCTTTTTTTTCTCTCATGATTTCAATTGTTTTAAAAGAAAAGGCCGGCTATTCGAAATAAAAAAATCTGGTCATTTAGGGCAACAACTTATATTTATAAAGAATTTTTTCTTCTAAAAAGTAAGTTTTTTTCATTAATCTAAAAGATTAAAAATTATGATTATTTTTTTTTCTTCTACAATTGTAAAAAATCATTTCATTTTATCCAAACGAATTTAAATATTTCAAGATTGTTTTTCAAATAATTTATCCAAAAAGAAATTTATTCCGATTATAATCGATTAATAAAATAATTTAATTTTAACAGTTTTTCCAAACACAATCTAAGTCCATTAACTTCGTTAACGAGTATTCATCCCGATTTCGTTGCTTTTAACAAATTTTAATCGGTAGAAGAATGTGTATATATTATGAGTTTATAAAAAATGTATTGTTAAAATATAGAAATTTTTCAAGGTTACTTTAAGAGTTTTTTTTAAAAAAATATTCTTTTCATTTTTTTAATATCTTTATACTCAATTACATCATATATGATATTAATATATATCATTTTACTCTTTTCTTCCTTTATTTTTTTTTCTCCGTTTTTTTTTCTTTTTTCCACCTATAAATTTTTATGTTTTTTTTTTTCACAAAGTATCCACTACTGAAAATTTTGATAGTGTTATATTATTTCTAGTCGTTTTATATATACTATTGAATTAAGTTGTTAATCATTGTTGAGGGGATTTCTCTGGGTAGAAATCTGATTTGACTTCGAAGGAAAGAATATATATGGCTTCTGTTTTGAGTAGAGTCTCATAAGTTTATTTTTCTCAAAAGTCTAGAGAGAGGATTCTACTTCTAGAGAGAGGTTTTTGATTCGTGAGCTCTTTTTTCTCTCAATCTTCTCCTCTTTTTGCTCCGACCCTTATCTAAGTTGTGTTGTTTGTGATTCAAGTAGTGAAAACCTTGAATCAAGTTGGTAATTTTGTGAGGAACCTCGATCTTCCTTCTTTTCAACCACAAATCCAAGCTACCCCGCGGTAAGGGAAGTTAGAAATTGATGTGTGCTGGATGAATTGAGGGTTGGTAAACCACTTCTAAATTATGTGTAGTGTGGAATCTCATTTGTGTGTGGCTGTGTTGAGTAATTCAAAGTGGAAAGTATGTTGGAAATGGGGTTTTGAGTTATTGGCCATAATCATTGATTCTTTGCAAAAATCTTGTTTGCATGTTGAATTTGAGTACATTTTGTAGTTGATTGTGATGTATATATTTACTATTTTGTGTTGCATGTGTTGTAACCTTGGTGGATTCCAGGTTATGGCTCAAAATTGGGTTTTACATATGCAAAATTTTGATGTCATGTCAAGCATTGTTCTAACTTACTCTTTGTCTCGATCATATAGGGTGTAGAATTGGTGGTACTAGACGTGAGGAGAGAGACTCATCTCGGATTGACATGACATTGGGCGTGATTTGAATGGTGCCAAACGTGAGACCCTTGAGAGCTCTCCAACTTGGTGACATTGGGCCCAAAGTTTAGTGGCACCTAGCGTGGTCAAGGTAGAGCTCTCTTTCTATATTTCACCAGGTGTCCATGTGGTGATGCTAGGCGAGAATCAAGTAAAGAGTCTTTGCTTGAGATGGGGTCGTGTGTGGTAGTTTACCATGTCAGGTGCGAGATCTCAAGGACCTCTACCTTAGCCATGTCGGGTGTGGGGTGTGTAGCACCAAATGTGGGTGAGGTAAAGAGGTCCTTGTTGGCATTAAATGTAGGGTGTGTAGCATTGGGTGTTAGTTGCTAAAGAAAATATGATGATGTAGTTGATGAAGTGTTGAATACTTATTGATTTAGTTGTTAAATAAATGAATGATGAATGAGTTGTAAAGATGAATAGTATGTGATGATTATGTAGTGGATTGTTAGTTGAGAAGTAGAAATGAGTTGAGAGTTGTATGTTGAATGTGTAGTTGTGATGAATATATGATGATTAAAAAGTTGAAGTTGAGTAGTGATTATTGAGTTGTGAAATGTAAAGTTGTATGTTGATTTCGTTGTTGTGTCAAACATATAAAGATTTGTTGTGTTGTTGACCTATGTTGACTACTTAGAACTAGAGAAGAGGTTTTTGAAAGTTACATATCCCATTATGTAGATATTGTGTTGTGGTGCTTTAAGAGTTCAATTTGTTGAAAAACCCTTATTGAGAAGTTGACCGTTGAAGTAGATAGTTATGTTGTTTATTTCTCTAAGAATTTGTTGGTACCGTGTGTGATCAAGGTCGAAACACACGTGTATGAAGTGACCATAGTATAAGGGCTAGGTTGAGATTACAAGTGACCAACCAAGTAAAGTACGAATTTAAAAACTTAGTTCCTAACCAAGTATCAGAAGGACATATGAGAGTAGTCGGTGAGATAATCCCGTAGGAGGCTTGGTTAAGTTAGCTAATATTATGGTAGACCCATACTCAGTTGTTCTACCCTGACAGTAGTATATATTAAACTTCCTTGTTTAAGTGGTGACATATAAGAAATCAAGTTGTTGTGTTGTGGATTTATATTCAAATTATTGTTGATATAGCAAGCCCAAAAAGATTACCCAATATTGTCAGTTTGGTAGGGTCAAACCACTTAAATTGCTCACCCCGTGTTGTAGGAGATCTCCTTGTTGAAATGCATGACGACACATAGTTATTTTGTTGAACATATAATGTGTTGAGTTTATTGTGTTGTTCATATGTTGTGTTGATTTGTGATTATATGTACTAATGTGTGAAAACTAAGTCGTTGTGCTGGTATGCATTGTATAATGTGATGCCTTGTGTTGTGTTATTGGAGATGAGATGATGTGATATTCCTATGTTGTATATATGCTGTTTCTTTTTACTCTAACTTACCCTTGGATATTTTCATGTAATTTGGACTACGATGATCATAAATGGTATGACAGTAGAATAGGGATAAGATTGGAGTGTAACTATAAAGGGCACTTAGTGGCACAGGAGCTAAAGGTTCTTTTGGTGAGCGCCTCTAAGTAGTTGTGCATATGTTGTAGAGTTTTTGACCGACAACTTAAGTTATATAGTTTGAATTACATGATTATTATATTTATATTGCACATATTTATACTAGAGATTTGTCTTTACACAAATGCAGTATAGTACATCTTTCTTGTATTTGTATATCTATAATCCTAAATTAGTTATTTTTTACTACTAGTAACTATAACGTTCAATGTGAGACCATGGTGGATCGTTATAGAAACTATGAACACGCACAAAATATATATATTTTCCTTCTAACATAATCATTCCATATCCAATGACATGATTCAAACCTAAGACAACCAAAATGGTCAAGAAAAACCTATACATTTTCATTTGTGTAACAATAACTATTATTGAATTTTTTAGAGTTTAATAGTGATATATCAACAATGAAAAACAATTTTACACAATCAATTAATCACAATTT